ATTGTAGAAATCTTTCTTCAATTTAGGTATACGAATATGACTAGTAAACACCGACGCTTCGTTTTTATTACTGTCGATCCTTACGGAACTGTGGAAGTATACAGTGCGAAATCAGTTACCAAACTGCAATCAAGACAGGAAACAAGTTGTAAACCCTTACGCTTAACGCAATCCCGACACCGGCAACACTGCAAGAGTCCGATGCCGAATCGCCTGACTCACCGAATGGAAAACGTGAGGATAAGATTTGACCTGAAAAAAAAACAATATGGTTATCGAAGTAGCAGTGTTCTGTGCGTGTTTCGGAAGCAATAGGTTTCAAAGATTCCAACAAAGTCGGTTTGTTGTTTGATCCGAGCGAGTGTGCGAACATCGAATGCGGCTAAGTGAAGTAGATATTTTGGTTTTATCAACTCATTCTGTACTGATTGGTTCATCTTACTAGCTAAACTCTGAGCGGTATACACTACTTGGAAGGAACGGAAAGTACCTTGTGGGAGTGAGAGAAGGAAGTAGTCAGGTGTGTGCCTAATGCTTTATGGGTCATCATACTTTGGGGTAGCCAAAATGTCGGATCAATAAGGTAATGGGTTATAAATCCAATTCGAGAACATGACCGAAGCATCTGTATAGGAGCTTATACAGATCTATCCGGTAAAGTCTTAGATTTTCGGTTTCCCCTTCTGTTTGCAAGCATCCTGCTTGTCAGTTCACCTTTCTGGATAGTTCCTAGTCTTAATTCACTGAATGAGGTGGGCGGAACGTGAACGGAGAGCATCCAGTTGGCTTGTGGTGGTAGAACTTGGGCGAGCGACAGATTTCCAGTGAAGCACAAAGACATCCCACCATCGAGACGAAACACCAGGTATTTTTCATCCAATCAGCGAGAATTTTCTTGTTGCTTTGTTTATTTGTTGAACTGAACACACGCCGGGTCGAAATCGGGTGGCTAAACTAAGCCAAGAAGTGAACAATCACCTGGGCCTTCCATTCGCTCTACCCATTGAACTTCCGGGTGTGATTAGATCTACGGCTGTGAGAACCATCCTATATGGTTCGTTGAGTCATGGAGACATGCAAGCCCAGAACGCATCAAGGTGCTGTCTCATCGTGATGTAATTCCGTATATATGCATCGCCGAATGTGTCATGGCGGTTCACCGCAACAGTTTCGCATTCCTGCTGCGTCCGCTATGGCAAACATACGACTGCGAACCTCCTGTGATAGTGCGCCGCGAACCTTCTTACAAAGGGTAAAATGTCTCGATCACTTCAGTGTAATATACTTCGATTAGGTGTAAAACCACTTCACTGATAAGTAATTTAATCATTCCAATGTTTAGCTATGCATTAGCAAGCATAAATGGCTGAGACGTGAACATAACACTGATGCTTGCTCCATAGGTCCTAATGATAGCATCTGATAAATCACACAGTTTCGGAATCATTTCCCCCCTTGGCCGTCCACGTTCAACAGTGGTCGTATCAATAACTACATTTTGCTTTAAACGTCTCAGGATCTTAGATAACGCCCTTTCTATTTTATCGGCCTAATACCTTTTCGTTGTTCTGGTGAATTTCAACCTGCCACTCAATATAGCTTCTTTTCCGACCGTTTAGACGATTGCAGCAAGCGAAATACTGACTTTGATAGAAGCTCGAATTCGATCCATTGATTACCACATCTGAATTACATTAACAGTATTGGTCATTGGTGAGGGGAATTCGCGGAGACCTTCCCAGTGCGTCACTTTGCCATTTTCACTGACCTTGACTCGTGTAATCATCTTGTAGTTTTACAACGCAATTAAGTGACTCGCTTGTGTCGGAAAATCTTCAAATGACTGAGAAATTCTTGAGGATTACTTTCGGTCTGTTGTATGCAAGCAAATGAAACAGATTCAAATGAGTACGGCAGTCAATTAACCTTTCCAAGGCAGTAGGTGAGTACTCTCCCAACCCTGAGCAGTACGTTCACAATTTGTCACCCGCAAATCTGGGCAGAATTATTTTGGACCGAAGTTGTGTTGTCCTAATAGCAGGTTTCAACAACTTAATTTGAAACTATTGCAAGTTTGATTTGAGAAACTATTACTTTGAGTTGGAAACTATCGAGTCGATTAGGAAAACTATAAATTTGAGTTGAGATGAATGCTGTGGTTGGATTCGCTTTCGTTCAGAGCAACTTTCTGGTTAATCGATTGCACGTTTTCTGCCCATGTGATTGAACGCATGGTTTCATACGCTCAACAAAGCGACACTTGGGTCATTTATGTCGAATGACGTGTTGCACCAACACAATTACGTTTGGGTGTATCATGTTAGCTGTTATATGAAGTGCAGTGTCTGGTGGTTTCCCCGTGTTGGTCTTGAAGTGATTGGATTCGCTGTTGTTGGCTCAACCCGGGGGTTGAATCCCGCTTTACTGTCTACCGGTTCGACACAGCACGCCTCACCCAGTGAGACCCTCTGTGGTTCGCCACTCCAAGTGCCGGTTTCCATGAGGAAACACTATCTCCTCATGACTATCTGCCATTTAGCGCACAGGGTTATGTAGTAAAAAAATGAAAACCGTAATAATGTCGGACGGAAAAATGAAAGCTGGTTCAGTGAGCAACAAGGCATGCAGTGAAGAAAACTAGGAAGATTGACCATAGGTAATTAGTGCAATCAAGCAAACAAATAGGTATGAAATAGTACAAAGCGTGAATAGGCAGTCAGCCAAGTGGGAAGTTCAAGAAACTACTCATGTACTTGAAGGGTGGGGTAAACAACTGGGAAGGTTTGCGACCAGATTGTCTCCACTCATTTGGATTGTGAATAGATGCATCTGGTTTCTGAATCTAATGCGATAGTTAGGAGCAAAAACAATTTGCTATCGCTATCCGGACAGGTTCACAAACTAATGTCTCAGGAAGGCTGAGCCGTCATTGACAAATTTTGTGTTCGTGGTCTAATTCGTCGAGACTATTCCGAACTCTCTGTTAGACTTATTTTCAGTAGGCTGCTGTTTTAGAAAAGACTTGTGAGTCGTATCTGAGCTTTTTCCCCATGCGACATTTTCCTTTACCAGTTGATCGATGACCGACTTAACATCATGACTTGCCCTAATTTCAATCGGTAAGAGCTTTTTTCAGCAGTATTCTGATAACGCATGTCATCGGATCAAATCAAAGATACCCAAAGCAGGTTTTGGCTCAAATTAGTTAACTAATTATAACAAAAAGAGGATACATCCAATGTGTGTCATCCCTCGGAGAGGTGTGAAACGGGTTCTTTAACGTATTGAAATTAAAACCTCGAATGTAATGAGCTTGTCCGAAAAATGGACGCGTATTTTTGTAAGGAATCAATTAAAAGTCGATGAGATACCTGAATTTTGTAGATATGCAAAGTTGTGCATCATAATGATTTAAAC